TACAAATATTATCAGTTTATACTCCTAACGCGTTATATTTGCTTTTCAAAAAAAAAAAAAAAAAATAAAAAAATAGGAAACTATCATTTTTTATATTGAATGAATTCATATTAAAATAAAAACATAAAAAACTATGCTTCATTTGATTTTAGGCTTATGTTTTTTAATTAGAGAAAAATAAAAAATATAAAATTCCAAATCTAGTTAGTAATTAATACTTTTGTACATAAAAGATAAAATTTAAAAAAAGGAAAAAAAAAAAAAAAAATAGAAACTATCATTTTTATATTGAATGATCATATTAAAATAAAAACATAAAAAACTATGCTTCATTTTGATTTTAGGCTTATGTTTTTTAATTAGAGAAAATAAAAAATATAAATCCAAATCTAGTTAGTAATTAATATTTTGTACATAAAAGATAAAAATTTAAAAAAGGAATAAGGCTTCATTTGTAACCTGAACTTGGACACAACATATAATTTGCTCAAAAATTAACTTTTTATACAAATTATCCCTTAAACTTATCAAAAGTACAAACTATCAAATTTTTGTTCCAAAAAATAAATTATTTGATATGAATCAAATATGATTAAAAAAATAATTAAATATTTAATCTAAATCAAATATAATTCAAAAAATATTCAAAAAAATATATTTTTCTAACCAAATATTCAATATAGTCAAATCCTTTTATAATTCTATAATTCTTTACAAATCAAATATTTGTTAAATTATTTTTAAATCAAATACTGTATATTTTTATAATAATTATTATGTTTTAAAATAATTGTTATTTTCTAATTTTAAAATTTTAAGTAATTTTTTATTAGTTAAAACCATAAAAAAAAGGTTTTCTTAAAAAATTGGACCTTTTATTCTTTTGGTATAAGTTGAAGGGGCAAATTGCACAAAAAGTTAATTTTTGGACAAATTGTATATTGTATCCAAGTTTAGAGGCCAGATTGAGCCTTAATCATTTAAAAAATTATTTTTACTAGCATGGCGAAGTATGAACCACAAGATCGATTTTAAAGTTTAAAATATCATAAATTTTTTTATTTTTTCTTTATTAAAGTTCAAGGGTGCAATTATATATTCCGCCCAAAATACCACCATTAATTCTACACATTAAATGTTTAATTAAATTTTAGGCTCAACATAAGCACAAAATCATTTAATGATGGACACAAATAGTTAATTGCACCAAGAAATATGGGGTTAGGGACATATATTAATTCTTGTGGCAATTAGTAATAATACCTATAAGGTGCTTGACAGCTTATAGGGTACTAAAAAATGGCAAAACCCCAAGACTTGGAACCATTAGACTGAAAACTTACCCATAAGTGAACAACAACAAACACATGCTATTAACTTTCATAAGCTTATAATGCATAAACATTGATACTTCAATGATTTTAGAAAGATTTCTACAAATTGCCACATCATCAAGCTTTCCTTTCTTCATTACAAGGAGTGTTATGTTGCCCACTTCTCATTGATCTAATTCAAGTAGTACAAAAACATTATAAGTATTGTTTGGTACATTGCTTTTTTTTCTCAAAAACACACATTGATTGATTTCTCCAATTCAAAGTCTCTTTTATGTCCAAAATCTCAAAAGTCATACACTTGCATGTGCCTAGATTTGTGTACATTGGGATAGATTCATTTTATCTCAAGAAAATAAGAATACAAAAAACAATTATACGTATAGCTACTCCTATTTTGACATTCCTTGTTTTGACTTGGATTTGTATATACAAACAATCAATAATCATTTTGTTTTAGGCTACCAAATGGAAGTATTAGGCCACTAATTACTCTCAAGTGCATGATTAGTCAATGTATTTATTATACTTAAAATGGACATATTAAATTATGATTTAGATAAGTTAGTCAAGCTATTGCATCTAACAATTAGACAAGAAATTATTCACTATTTATTGATATCTATAAACTAATTAAGCCAAAATGCTTGTCACTAAACTATATATGTATTAATTTTGTGTGTGTAAGTTGCATTAATGAACATAATTTAATTGATGAATATGGTTGAACCCACATTAAACATCAAGATCCAGTGGAAAGTAATTATTACACTTTTGATTTAATAACTTTCTTATTTTATGCCTTACACTCGAGTGGAGTAGTTCAGTGGCAAAGTGCATTTGCAGGACTGATCACCATAGCTTAGATCATAGGTTTAATCCTTCATAACGTAAACTCCTCCTATGCTAGTTCCTTTGCCTCTAAGGGCAACTAGGGATTAGTCAGATTTGTGGACCGTTAAAACGGACATGGTCTGGATACCTCATGCAAGTATAAAAGAGTCAATCATATTATACATTGCCTACTAAATTAAATAAATACTTTACAAATAACATCCAAAGAAAAAATATGATATTTTACTCTTGCTAATAAATATCATAATATTATGCAATTTCTTGTGTATTTCTTTTATAAAGTATTGTCAAATAACTTTGCTAACCCAACTTTAGGATGAGGAATTGGTGATATGAATCTCTTATTAATCAATCCTTTAGCAAAAAGGTAACACCCAAAGTAGACAAAATTAAATCCTTAGCAATAGATTTACCCCAAGTAGACAAATTAATTACATGGCATTGTTCCTTTTTATTTATTTGTTTAATTAATTTTGTCTTTTTTTTTTATCCATGAATATTCTTTTATCTTTTTAGGTATGAGATTAACTTTGCTTTATTGTTCATAACTATTTACACACTCTATGTATATTTTTCTATAAATCGAACTTTAATTTATAGATATTATTGTTAATTAATTCAAAATCGAACTTTAATTTTATAGATATTATTATTAATTAAATTCAAATGTATTTTACATTTAAGTCGCTCTTCATAATTTTATTTTGAAGTATTCATACTTTAACTAGTAAATATTATTCAATATCTACCGTTGAAGATTCTTGATTACTGTCGATCAAAGAATGGCCCTTTGTATTTTTGTTACTTTTATACTGTCCATTTATGGATAAACGCTCCATTTTATTTTTAATTGTAATTATATTCAATTTAACTTAAGATACTTTAATTTAAAATTATGTATTTTTATTTGTATTAAAATAATAATTTTTGGAATTTTTATTTTAAAAGTAATATGAAAATTTTTAAAAAAAAATTAAAAAGACAACTTATGAATGTGAAATCGAGGATGTTTTTTTTTTTTAATCTTTGTTTTTCTTCCTTCTCTATTTGTGACAAACAGATTGACTTTTATTTTTATATCTAAAATTTTAAATATTAAAAAAATATTTTTAAAAATTAATATTTTATTTTTTGTTAAAAATTAGACAAATTAATTTTAAATTATAAACTTATGTCGTGAATTTAATTTAATTAGGTATTTAATAAAAATTTAATGAATAAATTGCCCGTTCATAATCTATTTATTACACTTTTGGATATTAAAAATTAGAGATGCTAATTTACCTATCAAATCAATCATACCAGTGAATTTTCTTATTCCTTTTTAAAATTATATTTCTCTATGTACTTCTTATTTTTTTAAAAAATGCGAGACTCTGAGGTATTCCATATATATGAGCTCCCATTATTTTTTTTGGTGTAAATCACCAGTATTCGGACTCTATTATCAGAGACCGTGTAATCTGCTCAGACTTTAAGGCTCTTCGCATTTCTCTGCAGGTGTGTTTGGTAGAATCAAATTTGAGAGCTTTTTCCGTGTGCACAGTTTGCATTGCCAATTGAGCTCCCTTGCAGGTGTGTTTAATGGAAATCAAATTTGATAGCGCTTCTCACATGTCCAGTCTGCATTGCCAACTGAGCCATAATTCGTAAATAATATAAGATTCCGTTATTAATATATTCATATATTATATCAGCTGGTAAACTATTTGAGTTATTATTAAATCTATTATATAATTTGTTCAAATGATGATTTTAAAGACATTTTGAAATAATGAATCACTAAGCAATTGTTTGGTTTAAGAAGACCTATTTTTACGAGAAATATACTTATAAGGTAATTATTTTTCAGAAAGATAATTTAAATGTGTTTCATATCAAATCAACTTACTCGAAGTAAATCACTTTCAAATTAAAAAAGACAGTAATATTTATGATGTAAAATTAAAATGTATTTAAATAATAAGATAAATCGATAAATTCATTGTACTTAAACACAAAAGTGCAACTTCTCCGGCCATGTAAGGAACTTACTGCCCTCGCCTTTATGTAAGGAAAGTTAAATGATTTACTAACCAGAAGTAAAATTGATAATGCAAACCAAACGAAGACATTTTATGCATTTTGCACGAAATTACATTTTCTAGTTCACTTACCCCAAATAAACATTCCTAAAATATTAATTTGATGGAAAGACTTATCAACTGTCGGTTAATGGATTCGCTCATACATCAAACTAATTAAAAATAAAATTTTGATTGTATCAATGATATTTTTAATCATTCATTTGAAAAATAAATAAATTAGTAACAATATTTAGAAAACCTTCGTGAATTAGCTTGATATATGGGACATCTATATCCGGACACCAGGTATAAATAATTCTTATCCTTAATTTGATATTATGTTTATATATATGTTTTATTATTTACTTACAAGCAAAAAAAAAAAAATAAATAAAAATATTTCATAAATTTATTAGAATCCATAAAATTAATAAATTATTTTCATGATTTCAATTGTAGAATCTTGAAAAAGAGCTAAATCTCATCTCAAATATCTCTAAATTGTATTGTTTTTTTTTTATTAAAAATGAAACTTAAACCACTTATTTTCAGTTTAAAATTATTGATTTTGTTTTTCTATTATTTTCAGTTTAATTTTAAAAAAATAATTTAGACACCGATGGAGTAATATTGGAAGACAAAATTACCAGAGTTAAACAACAATAATTTCCATTGGTCAAAGCAAAAACACTTCCTAATATGGCCACGTGGACAATAAACAGCTCTCCCCAGCACAGGCTCACCCTACATCTTCTCTTCTTCAAGATAACGAGAGCTAGAGAGAGAAATAAAATAAAATAAAAAATCAAGAGAGAGAAAGAGCTTAAACATGTTATACCCAGAAGAGTCATAGACAAGCCATGACCATACCCAAATCACCATACACTCCTTACCGCCGTTACTCCGCCGTCACCAATGCCGTCTTCTCCGTTCGCTTTCCGTTAAACTGCCACTATTCTCATTTCAACTATGTCTCCCACTCACTCTCCATCGCCGGACGATTCCTCCTCTGCCGTTAACAGCTTGTACTGCGACGAAGACGCTGGTGAAGTGGTCCAATTTGACTCTGACTCCTGGATCTCCGATCGTCGTCCTCAATCCTCTTCGTTCTCCTTCTATTCTCCTCCATCCGATGAAAGTTCCATCAACAGGCTAATTGACTCCGAACCTCACTTTTTGCCTTTGGCTGATTATCTCCATCGCTGCCGTGACCGCTTCATTGACGTCACTGCTCGCCAAGACTCCATCAACTGGATCCTCAAGGTCTGTAGACTACATACAGTAGTATAGTATATATGTGTTTGTTTATGAATTGCGGCGGTAGTGTTAATTCATGAAATATAATGCAGGTGCATGCATATTATCACTTCAGGCCAGTAACGGTGTTGCTCTCCGTCAACTACTTCGACCGTTTTCTTTCTTCTCATTCTCTTCCGGTAAACAGGCAGTCATTTCTTTGTTTTTTTTTTCATTTTCCGAGAAATCGCCAGATTTTCCTGGAAAACCTTTACTTCCGTGAGAAAATCTCAAATCTTGCACGATAATGTCATTAAATGTTGTATTGTTGAACTTTCTCAGTAAAATGTCAGATTTTCCGGGAAAGTGAAACTGTCCAATGCCCATATTATGCAACATTAATTTTTTGTTTTTTTAAATTTTAATTTCACTTTTTGGTTATTTCCTTTTCACATTACAGCAGGCGAATGGGTGGCCGTTTCAGCTTCTTTCAGTGGCGTGCTTGTCTTTAGCGGCAAAAATGGAGGAGCTCCACGTGCCACTATTAGTGGACCTTCAAATACTTGAACCCGGATTCGTATTTGAACCCAAAACCGTTCAGAGGATGGAGCTTTACGTCATGGCAAATCTCAATTGGAGATTGCGCTCTGTTACTCCTTTTGACTATCTCGATTATTTCATTTCCAGGCTCCCTTCTTGTTCCTCTTCAAAACCTGACCCTTTTAATAGGGTCTTCACTGCTTCTTCGGATCTCATTCTTAGCACCACCCGTGGTAATTCGGATTCTCACCAAATTTGACCTGTACCCGTTTCAGGCTTTCGGTTTATTTGGAGTTAACTCGTTTTGGGTTTTTTCAGTGATTGATTTCTTGGGTTTCACGCCGTCGACAATTGCAGCAGCCGCTGTGTTGTGTGCCGGCGGCGAGAGTTTTCAAATACCGGCGGCGGACGGACAGTTATTTCATGAAAGAATAAACAAAGTATGTATTTATTTTAAATTTCTTTTGTGGTCTGTATAGATTTTTTCATTTTTGTTGGGGTTATAGTGTAAATATTTACTTTTTATGAGAATTACGAAGATTTGAGAAGTGTTGAAATCTGTGGAATAAAATGGGCTTTTCTTTTGGCTTTTTTTTCTGAAAGGAAATGGTGAGAAGCTGTCACCAACTAATGCAGGAGTATCTGATAGACACGTGTCCATCAGCTCAGCTTAAGGACACAACAGCTGAGCTGCCAGAGGAGCCGCCGAGTCCAGTAGGAGTACTCGACGCGGCTGCTTGCGGGAGTTGCGACACGCGTTCAGAGAACCCCGGCTCAATCAGCCAAGTTGAAGCTGAGCCGCTAGCTAAGCGGGCCCGATCCTCTGCTTCGGATGTACAGCAACCGTAGATAAGACCACCACCAGATCGTATCTCCCTTTGTCAGAGAGAGGGAGAGAGAGTAGTAGAGCGCCCCACCTTTTTTTATAATTTATTTTCGATATTTTCCATGCGTTGATTATAAAATGAACGGACTGGATTGGATAGTCCAACTCCAAGTGAGGAGGGATTTTGTCAGTAATTAATTATCAGTAATTATAATTTCTTTTTTGAAGAAATTATTTAATGTTATTTAATTGGTCTCAAACTTGTTTTTTGGGACTTTTTGGTCAAAGTACAATAGAGTATAATGATGAATCAATTATTCTTACCAATCATCCATAGATTAAAAACTAATGGGTCACACAGAAGATCTAAGACCGATCATCCTTTTACAGTTTTACTCCTTAGTTTGACAAAAATGCCCTTTGTAGTATGCGTTAATTACCTCCTAGTACCGGTAGTATCCTCCGGTGTATGGGACCAGTAGTACGAGGCCACGTGTTCGACAAGAACTAGGGTCAGTCGGCCGCTTACGAGTGTATGTCCAATTAAACACTCAACTCCGTTAATGGAACCAAAATACAGATGATATAGAACTTTGCGGAAATGTCCTTGGGTACTCCGGAACTGCGATGGATGAGGGAAATGAGGGTGAGGGTATAGTGGTAACTTCAAGGAAGATATAGACCGTTGGGAAAATGATGAGATGGGCATGACGAATGCATGACACGTAATGGGATGGCATTTTTGGGGGGAAAGAAAGAGAGTGGGGGTTTTTGTGGGAGACAGAGAGGAGAAAAGAATCGGAGCCGTCCAGCTGTAAAGTAGAAGTTACTGATCACTGAGGCAAAGATTTGATTTGATTGGGTGGGGGTGGAGGAGGGGCCACGAACAGTACGGGAACAAAAAGAGGACCTCGTTGCATGCGAGAGAGGGCTGAGCATTGAGAAAGGGCTTGTTTGGACAGGCATAGTTAGCGTTGTTTTACTTTACCTAAAGAGTAAATCAAATTTATCTTCCAAATGTTTTTCTTAAGAAATGATTATCTAACAATTTATTTAAATTGTTTGGTTATAATATTAAAAATATCAAAAAAATTTAAAATTTATATTCATTTAACAAGTAGCAGCAATTTAAAAAAAAATAATTAAAGGGAGTGATATTTAAAAATACATTATTTTAAGGAGTAAAATTAAAAATTTCACCATCTCAAGAGCTATTTTAGGAAAGATTTTTTTGAACTAGGGGCCGGTGGCCACCCCTTCCCTCCCCATTGCATATAACTATACAAATATTTAAAATTTTATTATTTCATATTTTAAAATTTTATTATTAAAATTATTTAAAAAATGTCATTTTTATTGAAAAATTTAGACTAATATTTACATGGTTGAATTTTGACTTGCTACTGTAAAATATTTTGTAAGAGTTGTTTTACGATCATGGTAAAAATTTTTTAGCCTAATTCATAAAATTACCCTTAAAGTTTAAGATTTTAATTCTTTTAGCCTAATGCATAGAATTATCCTTAAATTTTTAAGATTTTATCCTTATGATACTCTAAAGTTTTTGAAATACACGCATCATGGCATTCAAATTGCGATTTTTGTTATAGATGATTACTTTCAGGAGCACAATGTGTCTTTAAAATTATTATAAAATTATTACTAAAAATTGCACCAATTAACCCTAAGATGTAAAATTGTTACTAAAAATTATAACTTCAAGTCCATGATGAGTTCTTAAAGACTTTAGAGTGCTACAAGAATAAAGCTCCTAAAGTTTAGGGACAATTTTATATGTTAACCCTAATTGTTTTTTCTTTATGCTTACAGGATGAATTGTTTAGTTGAATAGGAAAAAAAAAATCCTACGTATTCTTTTTCTAATGGATTTAATTATTTTTTTCTTTTAGAATTTCATTTTTAAGGATAATGTTTTTTTTTTTTTTTTTTTTTTTTTTTTTTTTTTTTATTGCCGATTTTGTTATAGATGATACTTTCAGGAGCACAATGCTGTCTTTTTTAAAATTATTATAAAATTACTTTTTTAACTTTTAAAAAAAAGATTGCACCAATTAACCTTAGAGTAAAAATTGTTACTAAAAATTATAACTTCAAGTCCATTTGATGAGTCTTAAAAGACGTTTAGAGTGCTACCAAGATATAAAAGCTTCCTAAAGTTTAGGGACAATTTTATTATGTTAACCCTAATTGTTTTTCTTTATGCTTACAGGGGATGAATGTGTTTAGTTGAATAGGAAAAAAAAAAAATGCCTACGTATTCTTTTTCTAATGCGATTTAAATTATTTTTTTCTTTTTAGGAATTTCATTTTTAGGATAATGTTTTTTTTTTATTTTTTTTTTTTTTTTTTTTTTTTTTTTTATACAGGAGTGTAATCCCTGCCGAATTATTGAGCTATAAAGATTTTTGTCCTTCCACAAAGTGCGCTTCCTCGAAATGTATAATGTGTACTCATCCTTACAGGGATTTGAAGTTTTTACCCATCCCAACCTACACAGCGTTTCAACACTTTTATGATCCAAAGACTGTATCATAGATGACAAACAATGTTTCACTTTCATATACTAATCAAGCTTTTTTTTTTTTTTTTTTTTTTTTTTTTTTTTTTTTTTTATAACCAGGAGTGTAATCCCTGCGAATTATTGAGTATAAAGATTTTTTGTCCTTCCAACAAAGTGCGCTTCCTGAAATTATAATGTGTACTCATCCTTACAGGGATTGAAGTTGTTTACCATCCCAACCTACACAGCGTCAACACTTTCATGATCCAAAGACTGGTATATAGAGACAACAATGTTTCACTTCATATACTAATCAAGTATAGTTTGATTGATCTTCTCATATAATATGAAAAGTAAGAGATATTGAGTTTGAGTCCTCTCGACTATAAGAGTTTCACCAATTTGTGAGCCGAAAGAAGAGTTATCTATTTTGTAGCTCATAATATTATTCCGAACTATTAGGCTTTCTAATTAATAAGTCAGAAAAGATATTGCACTTCATATAACCAACCATATGAACTTTCCACTTAGGCAACACAGGCTCTTATCCATCTAACTTTGGACTTGCAGATCGAGCACCCTGAGCTAACTGCCATTCACACAGGTAACGCAAACCAAAAGTAGCAACTTCATACAAATACTTATTGACACCTCCGATAGTTACAAGTTTCGGTGGAACCAATTATTCCATACAATGATACAAAATTGTCCAACGTTTTCTTTGTCCAAAGAAAGCAACAGAGAAAGCTATTAGAAAGAGGCAGAACTACCACCTGTAGTTGAAAGACCATGCATATGAAATAGTATATCAACCGATGAGTTATTGGTTAGGTCGTAAGCGATTTCAGCTCCCATAAAACTAAAAATACAAATGCGATTTTTGGAAAACATATTTTGTTGGGAAGGCTCCGAGAAGGATTACACCTTCCGTAAAAGAGCAACTCTTCAAGATAAGAACCCCCTTTGAACTAAGCACCCATTAAAATTTCACGATAAGCAATTTATATGAAGTGGGAAAACTTAGGCAGAATATTTAACCTCCATAAAGGCAAATTAGAGATACTAAAGCTATAATAGCATGGGAACATGAAGTAACTCTCATTTTTTTCCCGTGCCACATTTTACAATCTTCTTCGTGGGAATACAACAAATCAATAGTAAACAGTATTTTGGTTTAAATGAAGATATTTTTACCATACACCGGGAAAAAATGATAAAGACACAACTTTCCCTCTTCATTATGCAAAATGAATGACATGCTTAGGTGATCAACATCAGATGGAAGTAAGGGGCTACAAATCAATGTCTCATTCAATTGCATAAACTTTCTATTCACAGGTTGGCCATTGTTAGGTCCTCATATCTTAGCAAGAACACCGGACTGAACAAGAAAAGAGTCAATGGCATGCATAAAAGTTCAGGGTTCCATACACACATGGGTTTATGAGTGAATAAGTGATGAAATCTGTTTACGTAAAATCAATTAGCTTGTGCTAGGTTCACCATTCATTTTGTTCTAAGTTCTTTATTTATTTTGTCATTATTCAATATGTGATTCATTTCCGAGTAATAAGAATTTCACTCTCCAGTGAACATTGTGATGAGCATCTCTTGGACATCAAAAGGTCTTTCAAATGTGTATTTATAAGATTATAATAAATTTATCAATATTTAAAAAATATTTTCCTCTTAAAAGGGTAATTATTTTCCTTTTAAAACGACTTAGTTTTCCCTTTTGATTATGGCTCATACACATGAGTTTATTGCTCAGTAGGTTTGGCTATATGAAGCTTTGATACCATGAATTGATGATATACATGGTCTTATAAGTAATCCTGAACTATAATCAAATTATTCAGATTGATCTTCCGCTGCTGTTGGTTCTTTGGTTCTTCAAGTTCAAGCTTGGCTTATATTTTCAGATTTCACATATATCGAGAGGCAAGTTTTTGTGCAGATTGGTTATAAGAAATACACTTCTTTATTTCCTTTTCACCTCTTAAAAGCTCCTTCTCTGGATATTGCTCATGATACTGCTGCTGGTGTTATCACTCTCGTTAGCATGTTTGAAGTTCTTTTTTTCTACCAAAAAATAAAAAAAAATGTATATGATAACTTAATTACTTGCATAATTATAAACTATAGAATTTATAGTTTAACAATTATAATACTATATATGCGTTTACCTTAGGAGAAGGTTGAATAAGCATATGCTCATCGTTCTTGTGCATTGAGGACCACAGGGTTATGCAAGTGAGGAAACATATATCGTGTCTCATGCAATGACATTTCATTGTACAAAACTCGTGACACGACTTTGTAATTATTATTTCATTAGATATTTGTACAAACAATAATTAATATCTTAATTACTGAATGAATGGACATAATAAAATTTTTATTAAAAGTTCAAATTCCGTTTGAGAGAGAGAGTATATTAGAGGCGTGCATGACTCAGTTCAAGATGAAAATTATATAATTTTCAGTCTCATCTCAAAATATCAATGATATCAAAAATAGAGTTTCAATTTCGTCCCAATAGATATACAGTAGTTTCCTCTCAAAAATTGAAATCGAACGGGACGAAAATTCAGATGAGTAGAATAGGACATAATGGACCGGATTAGAAATAAATAAATATTTTCCATAGTCTTACTAAATTATTTTCAAAAAAAAAAAATCACTATACTTATCATAATAGAAGATTTGTTAATAAAAGTTAC